GGGCAGGCAGAGGGACGTGCCGCTGCCTCCACTACCTCCAAGCGCTTGGGAAAAGCATTGTTGTCTTCTGTAACATGAACTTTCTGCACCAAGACGTAGTGACGTACCCATGCTTTGACAAGCGCCGTCAGCAGGAGTTTCTTGCAGCGGCCATCCTCGTCTGAGCAGGGTCCTGGCCGTGGAAGGGGGCGAACTGCGCAGTCCTGGCCCCCCCAGGGCTGGGCAGATCAGCGGGTGCTGCATGGGGCACGAGCCCCTTCCCACACCCAGGATTAAGCACAAGAGCTCCCAGGGGGCCAGAGCCACCCCGGGGGGGAAGCCCAGTGCTTCTGCTGGTTTTGGAGGGGGGGCTTGGGGAGGGTGGAGAGGTGGCTGGGAGGGCAGGGAGCAGAGCGGGGGGCACCACGCAGCACACCCGAGGGCGGAGAGCAGCCCTGACCCCACTGAATGGGTGCCCACTTACCGCAGGACTGCCCACGTGCCTTTCAACGGCTCTTGATAATTCGCATTTAAATGTCATTGGGGAAAGAAAAATGTTCCCAAGGTGCAGGCTAGGCTCAGGGCCAGGGCACCCACACCTGCACCCAAGGCCACCCTAAGCCCAGGACCCCTCTCTTTCCCCCCCCCAGCTTTCAAAACTTAATTTAATACTGTGCAACCCCTAAGCAGCCCATAGCCAAAGCAGCCACCCAAGTACAACAGCAGACAGACCGGTTCAGCTGCTGCGTGGGTGAGCCGCCCATTAGGGATCCTGCTCTCCTCAAACTCCCCGAGCTCTTCCGGAGGGGATCGGGGCGTCCTGCGTTCCCGGTTTGCGACCAAAGCCTGTTTTTCCTCTCACCCTGCCGCAGACAACTCTCCCTTCAGCTCTGTCCCACTTAGGTTATGCCACAGTCACGCCGAGCACCATCCCTCCAGCTCCACCACTGCGCCGTCCTGGCACGAACGAGCCCCCAGCAAACCTGTGCTTGTGCGAGCTGGGCAAGGGCGGAGGCGAGAGGTAAGGAGGGCTCTGGCTTCACAGAAACGCCCGACTGTCTCCGCATCCGTCTTGCTCTGCAGAACGCCACAGAGACTCCACTCACCTCCGCACAAGATAAAACCACAGTATTGATTTCATCTCTGGGCTGCAAGCCAAAGCTGCAGTCCTCACCGACAGGGGAAGGAGCAGAGCAGCCAGGCGGGCTGTGACAGCGCTGGCCGTTACCCCGGACGCGCCAGGTAGCCCCACTAATCGTGCTTCCAGAAGGAACAGGGTGCTGCAGCTCCAGTCACGCCCAACCACAAAAATTTACTACCAGCTGGTAAACGTGCAGCAACTACCCCGTGCAACTGAAGGGTATCAAACTTTATTATAGATCTCTTTAAAACAGGCTGGAAGGAACAAACAAAAATGTCATTGTGATGCAGTGACCAAGTCATCATTTCAAATGCAGACACTGATCAACCCCAACTCTCCCAAATTATTTATATATAATATATCCCACCCGTCCCCCAAATTGTTCCAATTAAATGATCACATTTCAGACCACCCCAAGTGCCTTAACATTAGCTGCTTCTAAACACCAAGACGCACATGTTTTCTGGCAAATCAGATGCAGTATTTTTTTGGGTTTAGTTCCTCAATCTCTGGAAAGGAGGAAGGAAAAACAAAATCAGGAAAATCGCTTCTTTAAGGTTGCCTTTTTACAGCAGGTACAGATTCAGCAGATTTCCCCCCCAAAGCAAGTCTGAAACCCTCTTGTTCAGCTTGGCAACACGAAGAGAGATTCTGGTGGTTAAGGAGAACCAGCCAGACGAGATCAGTCTGAACAAACTGATTTCGAGGCTTTGTTGTCACTTCCCTTTGGGGCCAGTCTCCAGCGGTTTTCCAATATCCTTCCCCCGCAGTTTAAGGCCTGGAATAAGACAAAGCAGATGACCACCATCAGCTGCCATCAGCACTCGATCATTCACCTGATCGCTTTACTTCCTCAAATTTTTGCTACAAGGAAGAGAACATCCAAAAAAGAGGGCAGGAGAACCAGAGTTAGGGAGAATCCTACTTTAGTTTCTAGGAGGACCACGCTAGTTTCAGACAAAGCTCCCAATTCTTGCTTGTCCACCGACCATCTTCCTAGAAAATGGTATCTGAACCGGCCCAGGAGAGTAACACCAATACTAGCGGCCGCAAGACACTTTCCCCAAGTATAATCAGGCCTTCATGGGTCTCAGTATCTTGTTGATTTTGGGGGGGACAGCATACGGGGGTGGTCCCCAGGGCATGGCCCCGCGCAAGAAGATGAAGAACAAAGGAGAACAAGAGCTCCGAGTTCTGGCTTCAGGCAGCAGATCCAAGTTTTATCAGAACACGGCTTAATGACACCGTACCCACGATAACCTACAGCCAGCAACTGTTCCCGACGTGGAAAATGGAAGTAACTTAAACCAAAACATCCCTCCTAGGCATGGAAAACATTATCGCTATTTCTGAAGACTCCTTTCTCAACTTACCAATGGCTCTTTCGATCTTGCCCATAACCTGGTTATTGGGGATTGCTCTTCCCGATTCGTAGTCAGCAATAACTTGTGGTTTTTCATTGATTTTCTAAAAGGAGAGGATGCGTCTCAAACGCTGGCTCCATACACAGCAAACACTCAGCACCAACCCCCCAGTACTCACGCAGATAAGTAACAGCCTCTAACTATGCCAGGATCAGAAGACAAAGTGCTCCTTCCAGGCTTACTCCATTGCCATTATCGCCCCCCTCCACTATCTGAGTGTCACAGCGACGGTGACACCCATCCTGGACAGACTTCCACTTCCCTCGGCCTCCCAGGAGGAGCAGCAGCACTATGTATTGCTGTTCCTTAAGACAGCAGTGAGCTTCCGAACGCTGCATCAGGCCCAGATGGTACAAAAAAACCTCACATCGGTGCTGAGTCGATGGCAGGAGAGGGGAAGAAAAAAAAGCCTCCTACCAGCTCACCAGCCGCAGCAACGCTCCGTCTCCAAGCAGGTGTTCAAGGGCTGCACAGAACCCCCTAAAACATTTCCTACATAACTAACGTTGCCTGGAGATCAGACATCAGAGATGTTGCGTCCACCAAACTTCCCGCTCACGATACCATCCCACTGCAGCTGCCCACGAGGGGACAGGAAAAGCGCCCACCTTCACCTCGAGGTGCCTAAACCTGCCTCAGGAGAGCAGGAGCAGAGGCCAGCAGGCCCCGGGCCATACTCACTGTGGCCAAGTCCTTCTGTGTCATGCCCTTGCTCTGTCGGCCTTGCTGGATCACTTTGCCCACCTCCAGGGGAACTCTGTCATGGTGCAGCTCTTCTGTTTCTCGGTCGAGCTTGGCCGTGTTCTTTGTAATAAAGTGTTGTTTGTTTTGGCCTGCTGCCCCTATCATTCAAAGCAAGAACAAAAAAAACAAAACCAAGGACAAACAAAACAAGGCTCAGAGCTGCACCAAAAAGTATCAAAGCACTTTTTCTATGCGCTCAGCTGCCCACGATCCCAGGGAGCTTTCAAGATTTCAACATGTCAACGTCAGCACTGATCTCAACCAGATCCTGCCTGCTGCAGGTCCCAGAACACGTTATCTTAATCCTGTTAATGCTGGTGCCAAACACAGCCATGCAGAGCCCTCCCCTTTCTTTACTTCGCGTCTGAACTTCTCTCCAGATGGGCAAGATTTTGCTGTTGCTGGGGGATTTAACATTCAAACTTCACTCCAGACACATGTTTGTGCTACAGCGTGGGGGGGGGTTATGTATTTGAACTTGTAACCTTGTTTGCTCAGGTATAAGGCAGCATGAATTAAGTGGCTTTTAATCAATTTTCTGATGCCTTTTACAAGTAAACTCTAACTCTACTTAGCTTTGCTGAAAGCCCGAGGTTCAAAAACATGCTATTTGTTTTGTCTCATTTTAGTTACGGTATTTAAGTCATAGTTTGAATCCTTTCTCTCACGTTAGTCTCTGACATTCAGTCTCTTGATAAAACTGACTAAATCTTGTTCAAGGATCATCTATTTATTTATTTCCAACCCTCATAGTCTCATCCCTATGGTGAGAGAACCTGAGAATTTACATCGGACAGGAAGCAGGGAATTTTTAAAGAGCAACGCCACAGGAAGATAAGCCGTCACCAAAATCCTTAAGCATGTTACCAACAAGAGAAGTAAGCGGCAAAAACTGGGAGCTTCAGTTTTGTGATCATGAAGGCTCTTCCAAGAGCCTGGCAGCCTCAAGAATACTAATGCTCTTGCTGACGTTTGTATTTATATTCGCTCTGACACCAGACACTAGCCAGAGCGCAGCTCTGGGCAACCAGAAACTCGAAGCCGGCTACAGGGGAGCGCTCCCCGCTCCCCCGGGGTGCTGCCCACCCTCCCCGGGGCGCCCGGCGCTTCCCCAGTGGGAAGCTTCCCTATGTGGCCCCAAGTCAGGGCGGCCTTTGGCTTAGCTGGGGAGCGCTGCCTTCTGCCCCAGCTCCTCCAGGCGAACG